AAAAAAAAAAAAAAAAAAGGCTGAAGCTATTGTTGATGAAGTTAGCCACCTCATCCTAGAGCTACTACCTACCTAGCTATTTCCTCATAAGCCATATTAGTGTATCAGTTAAATGATGATGGTATGTCGCACGATGTATGAAACTGATACGAAGTCATAGACTCTGCTATAAAATGTCTATGCTAATTATTCGAAGTCGATGCATCGAGTATATCTATTGTAGATGGCTTTGCTCTGGAACAATACTCTTCAGTTTCCCTTCTGTTACCGCCAGGCGAATATTGTCAAAGGTCCAGGCCGCCATCGCCCTCTCCGTTTCCACTGTCCAGGTACCCATATGCGGAACAAGCAATACGTTCCTATTGTTCACTAGACCTGGATGAACCTCAGGTTCATTCTCAAAAACGTCAAGGCCAGCGCTGGCAACTTGTCCAGACTCGAGTGCGTCGACAAGAGCAGCTTCGTCCATCACAGCACCACGTGCAGTGTTGATGATGACGACACCACGCTTCATGATATCAAATTGAGGCTTTGCGATCGTGTGTCGGGTTTTGGGCTATCAGAAGTCAGCTAAGCTGTGAGAATGAGGATTTGCATCTTGACTCACGTTCAGGGGTAAGTTGAGACTCAAAACATTACTCTCTTTGAGAAGAGTCTCAAAGTCGACATACTCAGCATCGCCTTCTAGCTCTGGAGATAGGCGGCTGCGGTTGTAGTATTTAACGATCATGCCAAAGGCACGAGCCTTGCGAGCGACATTTCGACCAATTCCGCCCATACCTAGGATACCAAGCACCTTGCCTTGAGGATCATGGCCGAGTGATGGCGCAGGGTTGCCACGCCAAGTACCTTCACGCAGAGCGAAGATGCTAGACGATAGGTTTCTCAAAGCACCAATGAGTAGAAAGATGGTGATATCTGCTGTGGCATCGTCTACTGCTGTTGGCGTGTTGGAAACACGCATACCCCGTGAAGTACATTCCTGAATATGTATTTGATCATACCCAGCCCCTGAAAGAGTCAGTAAACCTGTTCTTAATAAGATCAATCAGGATCTTACCGTTATGACAGATAAACTTGAGTGTCTTGGGCAGACTATCAAGCAACTCAGCATCAAAATTGCCAGCCAGGCTATAAGTCTTATTTGAGCGATAGATAGCTTGGATTCCGTCAAAGGCGCCGGATTTGCTCTCTTCTATGAAAGTAGTACGATCTGTTGATTTCGGGTATACGGCTTCTACCACTTCGGAGAGAGACGCAAAATCCTCTTGGGCTCTACATAAGTGTCAGCATATTTGGAAGCAATCATGGTGAGTTCTTACGCGACTTACTGCTTGGTGCTGCCAAGGAAGAGAACCTTGGGTTTGCCTGCCATATTGGATAATATGTGACCTGAATCCGAAAAACAAGATGAGTTTGCGAAACGAGGTTGAGTATGATTACTTCAATTGGTTTTGCTCCAGGAAGCTATTCTTTGAGTTATATGGTAGAGCCATCGGCTTTCATGCCGAAGACCAATACCGAGACCGATAATCATCTTTGGCGGGGTGAAGTGGGGGTGGGGTTGTTGGAAGGCGTCATTTGAATGAAGTCCGTTCATATAGGCGCGCTTCTATTCTGACCCTTATCATTCTGGGATCAGAGCCTGGTATTTGTCAGTAGGTGATATCGACAGTTATTTCAGAGCTATAAACAACGTATCAGGTGTCCTTTGGGATATTTAAAAGACCTTCATTCGTTTGTCCGAGAATGATTGCTATGTAATTATAGACATGTTAATTTCGACACAAGAAAATCTATCGGTTTAGGTGAACCATAACACTGTATATACGACTTCCACTCTTCATATAGCACTCCCCCAACACGAAAAGCACAGTTACATGAGCAATCGCCAAGCACCAAGCAACAACGCCGCGAAACCAGTGCAGACACCCATCAGCCACTGCAGCGTCTGGAACTTGACCTGCTCCAGCTTCTCCCGCAGCGCTGCAACCTCCTGCTCGATCTTGGTCTCCGTCTCCTTGATCTTGAGTTCCTGGCCCACGGCTTCTTCTCTAATACGACCCTTCTCCAAGTTAAGGTCGAGACGGACGCTGGCCTGCGTGCGGCTGATCTCATCTCGAAGACGGTTGCTCAGCTTGGCGATGTCGTTCGTCAATCTCTCGTGCGCGGTTCGTGTTGTGTTGGATTCGGTGGAGTCGGCAGAGAGAAGCTCGGATCGCAGCTTGGCAAAATCGACCTTCTGAGTGTACGTTGCTTTGGCGGCGTCCTCGCGGAGGACCATTGTTCGGGTGAGATTTTGGATGCTTAAGGGTAATGTAAGTATTATTGTTGTGAGTGTTGTAAGAGCTCGAACATACCTCTCCTCAATAACATCGTTCAGCGTCTTCATCATCGCAACCGACTGCTCCTCTGTGAACCCCTCCCCCTGTAATCGCTTCACAAACTTAAGAGTGTCGAAGTGATGATCTCGTTGCCTCAGGGCCGTCGCATGGAAAGCTCTCTTCGTTATGGGGCTAATGTTTCGAGAATAAGGACGTTGAGTAACAGGACCGGCCTGAAAGGATGCAAAAGACCGTCGTTGGTCAGGAGAAGGGATCGAGGCGAATGGTCGGGCTGCTTGCGAGACTGAAACCGGAGCGCCCCAGCTAAGGCGTGGAAGAAGAAATCGAGGCAGCATCTCGGCTGCTGCGACAGATGGAGCTGCCATAACTATTTGGTGATTGATCTGTGTCGGTCTGGCGTTGGTCGTTGAGACTGCGATGTCGGCGTTGAGGATGGAGTTGAAGAATCTAGCAGCTTGTGACGTTAAAGTTAATTGAGAAGAGCGGGATGCACCGGCTTTGATTGGCCCCTGAAGCTAAGATATGTCTAGCCAATAGGAGACTTCTGATGCTAATTTCCAAGCCAATTAAGGGAAGGCGGACTTGCTTTTCCAATGTAACCCTGAGATCTGATACCGGGCAGAGATCTATGCCTCTCGGCTTTTAATTAATTGAAGACATGGCCTGATCAACAGCTTCATAATCTGTTCCTGGTTTACGCTGGAGGTTATTAACTCAAGGAAATAAGCACGCTCAGCTAGGCTTCTAAAGAAAGGATGTTATTGTATCCGTACTTGATTTCCCACCGAGGCTTCTCATCTTTTTTCTCTGAAAACATGGGAAGTACCTGTGTCTAACGCACGCCTGTATGCGCAACGAAGTATGCCCAGCGTATCTGGCGTTTGTACAAGATCTTGACTCAACTTCATTCACCTTGGATCATCTTGACGTTAAGTAATACCGTGACCAGCAAAATATACCGGACTTAAGACTACATTTACATCACTCTTGACTTAGATTCAATTCCATTTGTCAGAAATCCTTGCACTTCAGCTGGTGACTTTAAGACAAGCGTCTAAATGTTGATCCTTTTACGGAGTTCAGATAACCCAACCCCGGTACCTAAAGAGTGATCTGATATCACAAAACTTCAACTGATTACCAACAAACATCTCAAACTTCGGAATTAAGATACTGTAGTCCAGTACAAGATTACCCCTTTACGGTTTTTATTCTGATGTCTTATTGTTTAACTCGCCGCTCGGGTCAATTCAATGTGCGAATATTTTGAGATAGTAAGCCGGATTTAATCGAATCCCGAATTCCGGTACACTATCCCCTAAGCTTGGTCTTTACCATTCCTTTACCACCCCCTTCAAAGATAGCATTCTGAATTCCTGTTATACGAACGGATTTTGTTCGACTCTGTTACTGTTTGTTTATGCACATGGACTTTATTGGCGACACTTACACAAGCAATCCATGGCGCCACCCGATCTGTCAGCCTCTACAGCCTCTGGTGCGACAGGGACACCCGCTGGCTATGGCAGGGCCTGCACTGCATGCCAGAGGGCAAAATGCAAGTGTATCTTGAGGGCTTCTGGTCAAGATTGCGAAAGATGTCATCGTCTTGGAAAACAATGTCAAACTATGACAACTGCGCGAAAACGGGTTGCTAAGAAATCTGCATCGTCCAGGACAGCTCAATTAGAAGAAAAGCTTGAAGATCTTGTTACCATTCTGCGCGCATCTCAGCCCCAAAATGGACATCTGCAGTCTCCCAACTCCGAAGACTCCAGTCCCCTGATGAACTCATCGAACGTGGGTCATCCTCTAACTAGCCGTCTGGAGTCCTTGGCAACTGCTGCAGCTTCGTCTTCTTCTTCGGAAACTCAACCGCATTCATATACTATACCTCATAGTCATGATTCAAGAAGTACGGGCGGTAGCCATGTGCATACCTCGCCCTCCAGTGTTGGTGAAGATACTTCTTCCTTAGATGAACCCACGCCCGAAGAAGCCGAACTGTATCTGGACAAATACAGAGGGTGGCTGAGGAAGTTTCCATGTATGGTCCTGCCACCTGATATGACAGCTGCAGCTCTGCGAAAGGAGAAGCCATTCCTGTGGCTGTGTATTATGAATATGACATCGATGTCGGTTGAGCAGCAGATGAAATTGAGAGATCGGGTTCGACAGGAAATTGCCAACAGAATTATTATCAATCATGAGAGGACCATGGACTGTCTTCAAGGACTTATATGTTACCTCACCTGGTTAGCCCATCGCCAACGCATCTGCTTCTGCTGAAATCTGACCTTCTTACAGGGCCTCCACTACCTCTAGTCCAGGTAGACCGTTTGTTATCACCTTCGTTCAATTGGCCGTCCTGGTTGCCTATGATATGGGTCTCACAAAAGCTCCCGTTGAGGAACAATACTTTACAGTTTGTTTCAAGGCATGGGGAGGACGGCCTGCCCCACCGCGGTTACGCACGCTGGAGGAGCGGCGAGCCGTTGTGTCACTATGGTTTCTGAGTTCCGTGTAAGTTCCATCTCTATGCTCACAGGACATTTCTAATTTGTGCAGTCTGGCGTCTTTCGTTGGCAAGATGGATCCTCTCCACTGGACGCCCCATATGAGCGATTGTCTTGACGCTCTGGAGAGGGAGAAACTATATCCATTTGATGAATTGCTGGTCGCATTTATCAGATATCAGCTTGTTGCGGATGAAGCGCAGAAACTGCTGGTTCGCGATGTCATGGGTGACCCATCTCCAGCCCCTACATACGTTTTCAGAAAGAGCTTGCTTGCCAAACTCCAGGCGGTTCGGGACGGGTTGCCCTTGAACATGCCCGTAACCCGTGAGTACGAAACATACACCCGACGGTAGGCCATACTGACGAATTATAGCGGTACTGCAGGCACACGCGCTTGCAACAGAGGTTCAAATCAATTCTGTCGGCCTGTTCATGCAAGATGTTCCAGTCAATCAACGAATCGAAAGCATGTATTCATGTCTAAGAGCGATCAGGGCATGGTTCGATGTGTTCTTTGCCGTTCCGATTGAGGAGGTTGCAGGCTCACCCTTTCCTATCTATATTCAGCTCTCTCAAGTTCAGATAGCTCTATATCGGCTCACAACGTCTGAAGACCCTGCCTGGGACAAGGAACTCGTACGAAATACGGCCGATCTACTAGTTCTTTTGGATCAAACGGTTGACTTCTTTACGCGCCTGGATTCGGCTTACAAAATCAAGGTGAGCGCAGGCGAGGAAACAGTGTTCCGAATGGCGGCCAAAATCATGCGTAACATCAAGAATTCGTGGGAACCTACATTATCGAGGCATCTCGGCGGTGCTCCCTCATCATCAACAAATCAAGGGGCATTCCAATTAATACCAGCACCAAACCCACCGGATCAGCAAAGCATAGACATGGCAGCGGTCAATATGATGGATTTTGGAGATGTTACATGGATGTCTGACGTGTTTGGACCCTGGGAGTTCTAGTATCCCATGGCATTGGATCTGAGACTGCACTTCTTGAGGGCACTTGCTTCGATTAGGCAATGCCGAATGAAGGATTCATGTTGTGGCAGTTGATTACCAGCTCCGGTGATTTGTTTGGCTGGGCGGAATTCCGTTCCCAAAGCGATATCCAACTCCGTTTACACCACCTCAGCCTTAGCACCACAACAATAATTAAGTATCCGGGACCGGGAAATATGTTACAATATATCCCGTTATTGGCCATGCTTATGGCTTTGATATTTGTTTCATGAATCATTTAAAGACACACGATGCCCAACATGCCAAGCGACTTCCCGGCTTTGTCAGAATTCTTTCCAACCTACGTCTTATAAACCCTTGACAGGATGACTACAACAGTACCCAAAGAAGATAATGTTGAGCCTCAGATCCTATCTGGCGACGATGAAAAGGCCATCTCTTCCTCGAACACGCCAACTTTACACGAAGCTACCCAAGAAGAAATACAGACGAAGCCAGAGGTCGAACTCCCAACAGAGGAAGAAGAGACTCAATGGGTGACAGGATGGAAGCTCATGAGCTTGATGATTTCTCTTACGCTTGCTGCCTTCCTGATGCTGCTGGATATGTCAATCATCGCTACAGTATGCAGCAGTCCTACATCCAACATTTACCCGATTGATATTGACTAATTTTAGGCTATACCTCGCATTACCTCGGACTTTCACTCTCTGCATGACATAGGATGGTATGCTAGTGCATACAATCTTGCTAGGTAAGCTCAGCACTAGTTCGGATCCTCGCATATCTTATTGACTGGCATTCAACCAACAGCGCTGCCCTCCAACCACTTACAGGCAAATTGTACATGTACTTTAACACCAAGGCAGGCTATTTCCCATTGGATATTACTTGTGGCGCTATATCTAACAAGCTATAGTGGACATTCTTATCCTTGTTCTTTGTCTTTGAGCTTGGCAATCTGATATGTGGTGTTGCTCAGTCGTCTACGATGCTTATCGTTGGCCGAGCAATCTCTGGCATTGGCTCGTCTGGTATTCAGAATGGCGCCCTAACAATCGTCGCGTCGGCGGTTCCCATTCATAAGCGTCCATCTCTTGTAGGCATCATCATGGGATTTGCGCAGTTGGGAATTGTCACCGGCCCCTTAGTAGGAGGCGCTTTCACCCAGTATACTACTTGGCGATGGTGTAAGTTTTCCAACTCTTCGCTATACTTATATCGGCTTATGTCTGACTATTTAATAGGCTTCTACATCAACCTACCAATCGGCGCCGTTTGCGCTGTTCTGATTCTCCTCGTCCAAGTTCCGAATCATCGCGCTCCTACAGATGAAACCATCACGCAGCTCCTGAAGGCCAAGTTCGATTTCACAGGCCTTGCCATGTTCAGTCCAAGTGTAGTCATGATACTTCTCGCACTTCAATGGGGCGGTGTCGAATACGCTTGGAACTCGGCTACAATCATCGGTCTCTTTTGTGGTGGCGGTGTTCTTTTCGTGATATTCATCTTCTGGGAGCATCATGTTGGCACAGATGCAATGATTCCAATGCCCATTGTGCGCACAAGACAGGTTTGGACCTCAATGTTAACGCAACTGTTCTTGTTCGCGACTGTCATGGTGGCGTCCTTTTATCTGCCCATCTACTTCCAGTCCGCCAAAGATGCATCGCCATTCACAAGTGGTGTTAACTTGCTTCCCAGCATTCTCATGCTGATCGTGGCTGCTGTCACAAGCGGCGCCCTAGGTAGGCTCCATGTTATAGAGCTCGTGATATCATTACTTACAGGCAATAGTTCAGAAACTTGGCTATTATTTACCGTTCGCAACAGCCAGTGCAGCTTTCTCGGCCATTGGTTTCGGTCTCTTATCAACCATGGGTCCTTACACTTCTACAGCCAAATGGGCAGGCTACCAAATCTTGATAGGTTTCGGACGAGGACTTGGTCTTCAGATGCCCATCATCGCTGTCCAGGCCAACACGAAACCCGAAGTGACCCCTATCGCGATGTCGATCCTCACCTTTTCCCAAACCTTTGGGGGTGCCATTTTTGTTTGCGCTGCCAACGTTATTTTCACCCATGAGCTCCGTCAAGAACTCGTAGCGAGACTTCCCAACATTGATCCCGATATTGTCATCAACGCTGGAGCTGGAGCTGTAAGCGAGGTCGCTGATGAAGCAAGTTTGCCGGGTGTTCTATGGTCATACTCTGAAGGCACACGTGCAACATTCTTGCTTTGTGTTGCTTCGGCGTGTGTTATGTTTTTCACGTCGTTTGGTATGGGTTGGAAGGATATCAGGAAGAAGCCTGTAGCTAAGGTCGGCGAAGCCTAGAGTTTGGTACAATCGTGCATCACAATTCGAGAAGGGTGGTTTGCTCAAACAATGTATATCAGGTCACACGCTACTCACATCTGGTAGGGCGCATGGCCTAAGAAATCTGTAAATAATAACATGCTGATAAATCTCCTAAATACATTCAATAATTCAATTGAAATCAAGTTTTTGACAAAATGATGCAACTGGGAGCTGACTGTGCAATTCGGGGTTGTAAATTTCCAAGATGTGTAGGGTAAACTTTTTTTCACAGCCAAACACCAAGGTTTGTTACTCATGCATCATCAAATGAAGATTTTCTTTACCAAGAACATACTTTCCAACTCTTTCATTCTGAACACTTCATATCCTCGCTCGATACGAGCAATCTCTCTTGGATATTCCATAACTCAAAAGTCATATTTTACCAAGATGAATCGACCTAATCGACCTCGCAACCGTCAGCCTCGCCCACCACGCCAGCAGCAGAACAACCAGCGGGGCGGCTCATCAAGACCATCTCGTGCGCCAGCAACACCGCAACAAGCATCAGGCACAGTCCCAACAGTGCAACAAGTTATCCCAGGAGCATCAGTTTTCATCATCCTGAAGGAGGATCAACCCACAGGAGAAGAGACAAAGGGAATAGTTCAAGATCTTCTCACACGAGGCAATCATCCACGAGGAATCAAAGTACGACTACGAGATGGTCAAGTAGGCAGGGTGCAAAGAATGGGCGATTCTTCTGGTGTTCCCTCTGCATCGTCAGATGAGCCGAGGGCGCAAACAGCACCCTCAAGTTCAAGATTTACAATGCGATATACGGATGTGAGGCTGGATGATGAGTTTGCTACAGGACCGCCACCAAGGAGTTTGGCAGATTTCATACCAGACTTCGATGACAATTCATCAAGTACGCCAACTGCTGGTGTTGAAACGGTGAAATGCCCTTTTTGCGATGCCTTTGAAGGCGATGAGGCTGCTGTTACACATCACATTGACCGGGAACATTTGTCATAGGATTGCGAAAAGTTTGGCATGGAATGTTTGGAGTTGAGTTGAGATGGTCAGGTATAAGACACAGGATGATCACATGTTATTTATTTGGTGGACAATTGTTTGTTTCTTATAGAAACAAGATCTTTGCTGCATGAGCGGCTATAAACCTCTGGAATGGATGAGTCTATTTTTGAAAACATGCACTAGAGCTATCTTCCAGGAACTCCTGTATGCTGCGTAAAGCTTGTACATCCATAAGATTCTGTGTTGTGCCACTGGGATTGCCCAGTCGCATGTACATAGCTCTATTAAGCTTCCAGAAAGACTGGTAGAAGTGATCGGCATGGATAACAGTGCAATTGTCCTCAGAGAACCAAGGATATCACACCCTGTAACTTGAAAAGCCACTATTAAATATCCTATTCTTTGACTACGACAGTTTATGACCGAATTTAACTCGACAGGCACTCCTTCAAGCTTCCCCTTTTCGCATAAATTGGCGCCTATTTTTGATGACGAAAGCTTGCTTGATTCATCTCGTTCGGGACGGAATATCGTAGTGCCCCCACCTTGCACCAGCTCATTGGCCGGCTGATAACCTGTCAGCACTGGGAGGCCAGTGAGTTCCAGCTTTCCAAGCACGCTAACCCCAAATTGAACTCAACCAGAGCGGTACGTACCCTCTGCTCAAAGGTGCTGCACCTGCCCTGAGCGGTCCGTCACAGCTGCCCTGTGGCTCCTCCCAAGGCTACCCAAACAGAACAGGTAACGTAACCCAGAAACCGACCTGGACCTTCTCTCCTTTACCTTACCAAAACACCCCCCAACCTCATCTCCATCTCTACCCTTCACGACGACAATTCAGTCTGCTTTATCAGCAGAAGACGAATAATAGCGGATTATACGTCGTCGCTTTCTTTTCTTTCTCTTCAATTTCTGGCGCGCACCCTGTGTTTACTCCGAAACCTAGTGCTTCCATACAGTCCCTGCCACGCGGCGCATGGAAGCTTCTACTTCGCCCTTTAAAGGCAACTCCGAAATAATTACTGGTGATCGATCCGAGATCGACTCCAATTCATCAACTTCTTTCTTTGGCCAAACTCGAGGCTAGGAGCGTCGATTCGAACAAGGTCCATATTATCTTATCATAGGCTACAACGCCGCCATGGCGCCTCTGCCCATCAAGTTCCAGGAGCTCGTCCAGCTCGCCAATGTTGGCGTGGACACCCAGAGCATCGGCTTTAACTCCTGTGTACGTCTCCTAACCATCAGCTAGCTTTCTTGCCGGCCAGTAGTCAACATCAAGCTAACTGCAGCTAGACACTCGAGTCCGATTCATACGTCTGTGTTCGAGAGCAAAAGAGCGAAGCCGACAAACCCGACGTTGTTATCATCGAGCTCAAGAATGGCAACAATGTTACCCGACGGCCGATCAAGGCCGACAGTGCTATCATGCACTGGAACCGACAAGTAATTGCTCTTAAGGCCCAGTCTAGAACCCTGCAGATCTTCGATCTTGAGCAGAAGAAGAAGCTCAAGTCATGCACCATGAACGAGGATGTCCAGTTCTGGAAGTGGATCAGCGAGAACGAGATTGGCCTTGTCACGACGTCTAGCGTTTACCACTGGAACGTCTACGATGCTGGTCAAGACGCCCCCGTCAAGGTGTTTGAGCGCAATGCTAACCTCAATGTGAGTTGATTTCATGTCTGCCTGACTGGAAACCATGGTACTAATAATCTCGTCTTAGGGCTGCCAAATCATCAACTATCGGGTTAACAGCGATGGCAAGTGGATGGTGGTAGTCGGCATTTCGTCCCAGCAAGGACGTGTGGTTGGTGCCATGCAACTCTACTCCAAGGATCGTGGAATCAGCCAGGCCATAGAAGGTCATGCGGCTGCCTTTGGCACCCTCCGCCTGGAAGGTGCTCCCCAAGATACCAAGCTTTTTAGTTTCGCTGTACGAACCGCCACCGGTGCCAAGCTACACATCGTCGAGGTCGATCATCCCGAGTCGAATCCAGTCTTTCAGAAGAAGGCTGTCGACATGTTCTTCCCCCCCGAAGCCACCAACGATTTCCCCGTCGCTCTCCAGGTTTCGCAGAAGTACGGTGTTGTCTACATGGTTACCAAGTACGGTTTCATCCACCTTTACGACCTTGAGACTGCCTCATGCATCTTCATGAACCGAATCTCGAGCGAGACGATATTTACCACCTGCACAGACGATGGTTCATCTGGTATTGTTGGTATCAACCGAAAGGGTCAAGTCCTTTTCGTGACCATTGATGATAGCAACGTCATTCAGTACCTTCTACAGAACCCCGCCAACACTGATATGGCTATCAAGATGGCCTCTCGAGCCGGACTTCCTGGTGCCGACAACCTCTACGCACGACAATTCGAGCAGCTGTTCAACACGGGCGACTACCTGGCTGCCGCTAAGGTCGCTGCCAACTCTCCTCGAGGTTTCCTCCGAAGTGCTGAGACAATTGAGAAGTTCAAGCGTCTGCCTGCCCAGCCCGGTCAAATGGCTTTCACCCTTCAATACTTCGGAATGCTTTTGGACAAGGGCTCCCTAAACCGCCATGAGACCCTCGAGCTTGCACAGCCTGTTCTCCAGCAGAACCGCAAGCACTTGCTTGAGAAGTGGCTGAAGGAGGGCAAGCTGGACTGCTCTGAGCAGCTCGGTGACATGGTCAGACCTTATGATGTGAACATGGCCTTGTCCATCTACCTCAAGGCCGAGGTTCCCCAGAAGGTCGTTGCTGGCTTCGCTGAGACTGGCCAATTTGATAAGATTCTTCCCTACTCCGCCCAGACTGGCTTTCAGCCCGATTACATCCAACTGCTCCAGCACATCACTCGTGTCAACCCCGAGAAGGGTGCCGAGTTTGCCAGCGCTCTTGCCAACAGTGAGCAAGGCCCATTGGTCGATTTCGAGCGTGTATGCGACATCTTCCAAGGACAGGGCATGATTCAACAAGCCACTGCCTTCTTGTTGGATGCACTTAAGGAGAACAAGCCTGAGCACGCCCGTCTCCAGACCCGTCTTCTCGAGATGAACTTGATGCATGCCCCCCAGGTTGCTGAAGCTATTCTTGGCAACGAGATGTTCACTCACTTCGACAAGACTCGCATTGCCGATCTTTGCGAAAAGGCCAACCTTCCCCAGAAGGCTTTGGAGTTGTACGAGGATCCTGAGGCCATCAAGCGAGTTGTTGTTAACATCCCCGGTCAACCAAACTTCAACCCTGAGTGGCTTACCAACTTCTTCGGCAAGCTCTCCGTCGAGCAGTCCCTTGACTGTCTCGATGCCATGATGAAGGCGAACATTCGCCAGAACTTGCAGTCAGTGGTCACCATCGCCACTAAGTACTCGGAGCTGCTGGGTGCTGTTCGCCTCATTGACCTCTTTGAGAAGTACAAGACTGCTGAGGGTCTTTTCTACTACCTCGGCAGTGTTGTGAACCTGTCAGAAGACCCTGACGTTCACTTCAAGTACATCGAGGCCGCGACCAAGATGGGTCAGTTCAACGAGGTCGAGAGATTGTGTCGCGACAGCAACGTCTATAACCCCGAGAAGGTGAAGAACTTCCTTAAGGAAGCTAAGCTTCCCGAGCAGCTTCCCCTCATTATTGTCTGTGATCGCTTCAACTTCGTTCATGACTTGATCCTGTACCTGTACCAGAGCCAGCAGTTTGGAGCTATTGAGACCTACGTCCAGCAGGTCAACCCCAGCAGAGCCCCCGAGGTTGTTGGTGGTCTATTGGACGTTGACTGCGATGAGAACGTCATCAAACAGCTTCTCAGCTCGATCAACCCCCAGAGTATCAACATCGATCAGCTGGTGTCTGAGGTTGAGTCTCGAAACCGCCTCAAGCTTCTCTTGCCCTTCCTGGAGGCCACTCTTCAGGCCGGCAACCAACAGCAGGCTGTCTTCAACGCTCTTGCCAAGATCTACATCGACTCTAACAACAACCCCGAGAAGTTCCTGAAGGAGAACGATCAGTATGATACTCTTACTGTTGGAAAGTACTGTGAGAAGCGTGACCCCAACCTGGCTTACATTGCCTACTCCAAGGGTCAGAACGACTTGGAGCTTGTCAATATCACCAACGAGAACTCTATGTACAGGGCTCAGGCTCGATACCTTTTGGAGCGATCTGATGCTGAGCTGTGGGGTTTCGTCCTGAGTGAGAACAACATCCACCGACGCTCTGTTGTCGACCAGGTCACCGCTACCGCCGTCCCTGAAGCCAATGACCCCTCTAAGGTGTCCGTTGCCGTTTCCGCTTTCCTTGAGAATGATCTGCCTCTTGAGCTTATTGAGCTTCTCGAGAAGATTGTTCTCGAGCCCTCACCCTTCAGCGACAACCAGAACCTCCAGAACCTCCTCATGTTCACTGCTGCTAAGGCCGACAAGGCTCGTGTGATGGATTACATCCACAAGCTGGACAACTACAACGCCGACGAGATCGCCACCAGCTGCATCGAGGTTGGTCTCTTTGAGGAGGCTTTCGAGATCTACAAGAAGGCCGACAACAAGTCTGCCGCGGTTGATGTTCTGATTGAGAACGTTGTCAGCATCGACCGTGCTCAGGCATACGCCGAGGAAGTTGATCTCCCTGAGGTCTGGAGCAAGGTTGCCAAGGCTCAACTCGATGGCCTTCGTGTTTCTGACTCCATCGAGTCCTACATCAAAGCCGAGGATCCCAGAAACTACCTAGAGGTCATTGAAGTCGCCACACACGCCGGCAAGAACGAGGATCTCGTCAAGTACTTGCGCATGGCCCGCAAGACTCACCGTGAGCCTGCCATCGACACAGCTCTCGCCTTTTCCTACGCTCGCCTTGAGCAGCTGTCTGAACTTGAGGACTTCCTCCGCGCCACTAACGTTGCGAACATCGAGGAGTCCGGTGACAAGGCTTACGAGGAAGGCTTGTACGAGGCGTCCAAGATCTTCTACACTAGCATCTCCAACTGGGCCAAGTTGGCAACCACCCTTGTCCACCTCGGCGATTACCAAGCCGCTGTTGAGTGCGCTCGCAAGGCCAACAACATCAAGGTGTGGAAGCAGGTCCACGAGGCCTGTGTGGAGAAGAAGGAGTTCCGACTTGCTCAGATTTGCGGTCTCAACCTGATTGTCGACGCCGAGCAACTTCAGACGCTGGTCAAGGAGTACGAGCGCAACGGGTACTTTGATGAGCTTATCAGCCTTCTCGAGCAGGGTCTTGGCCTTGAGCGTGCTCACATGGGAATGTTCACTGAACTTGGTATTGCTCTTTCCAAGTACCACCCTGACCGTCTGATGGAGCACATCAAGATCTTCTGGTCTCGCATGAACCTGCCCAAGATGATCAAGGCCTGTGAGGAAGCTAACCTCTGGCCTGAGCTCGTCTTCTGTTATTACCACTACGACGAGTTCGATAACGCCGCTCTTGCCGTCATCGAACGACCTGAGAACTCCTGGGATCACCAGCAATTCAAGGAGATTGTGGTGAAGGTTGCCAACTTGGAGATCTACTACCGTGCCATTAAGTTCTACGTTGAGCAGCATCCTTCCCTCCTCACCGACCTCCTTGCCACCCTCACTCCTCGTATCGATGTCAACCGCGTTGTCAAGATCTTCCAGAAGAACGACGATCTTCCTCTCATCAAGCCTTTCTTGCTCAATGTGCAATCTCAGAACAAGCGTGTCGTGAACGAGGCTGTCAACGATCTCCTCATCGAGGAGGAGGACTACAAGACCCTTCGCGACTCTGTCCAGAACTACGACAACTACGATGCCACAGAGCTGGCTAGCCGCCTGGAGAAGCATGATCTTATTTTCTTCCGCCAGATCGCCGCTTCCATCTACCGCAAGAACAAGCGATGGGAGAAGTCAATTGCTCTGTCCAAGCAGGACAAGCTTTACAAGGACGCCATCGAGACCGCTGCTCTTTCTGCTAAGATCGACATTGTCAGCGACCTCGTTCAATATGTAAGTCTCACTCAAGCCTCTACAATGGATAAAACTAACCGTCATAGTTCGTCGATATTGGCCACCGTGAATGCTACACTGGCATGCTTTACGCTTGCTACGACCTCATTCGCCCTGACCTTGTCCTGGAGCTTTCATGGCGCCATGGTCTTATGGACTTCTCTATGCCTTACATGATTAACATGCTCGCCCAACAAACTAAGGAGCTTGCTACTCTGAAGGCCGACAACGAGGCTCGCAAGGCCAAGGAGCAGGAGAAGGAGAAGACCGATGATAACACACCTATTCTGGGCGCTTCACGGCTCATGATCACAGCGGGTCCTGGGGGTATGGGTTCTACCCCCTCACCCGCACCATACGGTCAAGCAAATGGTTTCGCGCCGCAGCCCACCGGCTACGGTTTCTAGATGCAGTCACCGGTACCAACGTGGCGTTGCCTCCCTGCATTTAATTATAGGCCGGTAACCCATATCTAATTTCGCAGCCTGTCTTGAGTAGCCGGGTTGCTGTATGTTGTATGATAGTACATTGATTTTTATTACCTTCATTTTTGTCGAGCAAGATCGTGATTGACTATGACTACGCCCAGACTCTAGATATGCAGGTATGAAAGCCTTGTGTGGCAGGACGTCATCACATGAAAGCTGAAATGCACCGCCACGAAGGATGCAGGTCGGTCTCAACCAGTGAGCTGAGCCTAGCATGGTAAGGCCAGCAAATGAGAGACTTTGAGATACAGATACGATGAATGCGAAAAGTAATGTGGGGTTGCTAGGCGGTTAGATCGGCATTAACCTCTCAGCCTTGGTAATGGAGGAAGATAGATTCGAGAGCGAGGGAATATATAAAGCGCTTGGTCCCTTGCTTTTACTGTTATGATGAAAGATACAATACATATCAGATATCTCAGAAGCTTTTTTATCACGAAATTCAGCCTTGGCATTCTACTTGGACTTACACGAACATATAAACCTTCATTACCATACAGCCAAAATGGTTGGTTTTGGCACATCCAAGGACGACAGGAAGAACCACGAAGAGGTTGCTGATATCCCGCCTCATCTGTCGGATTTGCACTGCGTATGATGCCAAGATAAATACTCTTCCTTCGTACACTGACATGATGTAGTTTACTGAGACAGACAACTGCATAACAACAAGTAAGTCAGCACTAGACTAACTACAACCATATCTCCACTTACACATCGTTACTAGCAATGATGGACCTCCCTGGCTATCGCATCACCAAAGTCCTGGGAGCCGTCTACGGAATCACTGTTCGCTCGCGTAATATCGCAGCAGGTATTGGTATGGTTATCAAGAGTTTGGCTGGTGGTGAATTGAGCTGGTTTACCTCCATGCTGTACAACTGCCGCAACGACTCCATCAGCCGTGTTGTCCAAGAGACGAAAAAGAGAGGCGGGAATGCTATCATCTGTTTGAGGTTTGAGACTGGAGACCTTGGAGGTTTTGCACAGGCCAGTGCTTATGGAACGGCTTGTGTAGTTGAGAAGATTGAGGGTGCTACTGTTGAGGCACCACAGTTGCTAAATTAGCATTGCGAGAGTGGATGTAAGATACAAGGATACCCTTTACGATTGCTATGATTCCTTCTTTGTATTATTAGTAGTTTGTTTAGATTGGTTATCTAGGCGGGTAACAGAAGAAATGTTCCTTTAAGACTTAGGCCTTCAAAATAAAGTAGCCTAAATGCTAACCTAAATTGGCATAAGATGACTAAACTATTTCGTCCCTCACGCTTATGACGATTAATTCTTTTGACATCCTGCGGGCTATTTATTGAATTCTCTCCAGTAATGGATGTTTCTTAGAGTACCCCGGATTCATCAAGACCAGTAGCTTGGATGAGTGGGGCGGATCCGGGGTTCGGGGCCCGGGGATTCAGCCGGGAGCATGCAATTCCAGATTGAAGTAGCTGATACTGAACTATCAGTCATTTGCATGCATCCATATGAGAGAGTTTTATGTGATTCTAGTATGAATAGATCAAATATGCATCAGTAAATATACTCCTGCTCGTTCACAACTGAGTGATCGTAGAGGCTTACGTCATCAGAAACTTTGCCCAATGCGACAAGTAGGCACGAGCTCTACTGAGACACAAGCAATGACCATACCATGACCATGGCCCCCTCGCGTTAGTTAGCTACCGACCTTACTTATCGCTATTGACAACCCAATACGGTTCCAATCGACGCCTCATTCCCTTTCCCTCTTTCGTCAATTCATGTTTGCCTCGTCTTAGCCTATCATTCACTCTATTCAATCTCCGACACTCGCTTGTTCGGTCCTTCGTTCCCGTGCACGATACGATGCGACAGTGCGCTACCGCGTAACATCAATTCAATAACCTGCGCTTAGATATAACGGCTACCGCCACCGAAAATGGCCTCGGACGTGTCTACACCCGAGCGTCGATACTCGGACGATTCCATCTCTACCGCTTCAACCACGAGTTTTGTTTTCGAGAGGATACACGAGAAGACCGAGATGGACGCTGGCAAAGATAAGAACGACCCGAGGGCGCTGGACGACGATGATCCCCTTAAGGAAGAGGAAGATGACCTGGAGACGGGTCCCTTCCTCGGTCCTGGGGCTACTCTGCATCGTCAACCCATGGATAAGAAGTTGCGCCGAATTCTGATCATTGTCGGCGCAGTCTTTGTTGCTGGATGGCTAGCTGGCCTCGGCATCTTTCTTTACGGCGGATCGCATCATCACGATAGCGACACTGAACACGACCCTGATGCTGCGACACGAGGTTCAGGAAAGGCTGTTACGATGGATCAGCTCTTCGATGGCAGCTGGCAGGCCAAGTCCCACAGCATCAGCTGGATTGCAGGTCCCGAAGGAGAGGATGGTTTACTGCTCGAGGTTGGGGCCAGTGAGAAGCCATATATCGTGGTAGAGGATATCCGCAAAGACAAGGAGACCAGGTCGCCGATCAATACGGAGATCAAGGCCTCAAAATCACGAACACTCATGAAGGAGAACTTCTTTCTTCATGACGGACATCAATATTCTCCCGATTGGAACGAACCCAGCCCCGATCTGAAGAAGGTCCTTCTCGGTGTTAACAAGAAGAAGAACTGGCGTCACTCTTTTAGCGCCATCTACTTTATCCTTGATGTCGAGACACAAGAAGCTGAGCCGCTTGTTCCTGGAAAGCCTGATGCCCGAGTCCAGCTTGCCACTTGGAGTCCCAAGAGCGACGCTGTATCCTACACGCAGGACAACAACCTCTACATCAGGCGCCTAGATGACACCAAGAACGTCGTTCAGATCACCAAAGACGGTGGCCCAGAGTACTTCTACGGTATTCCCGACTGGGTGTATGAGGAAGAGGTGTTCAGCGGTCGCAGTGCTACTTGGTGGTCTGAAGATGGAAAGTATCTGGCCTTCCTTCGAACCAACGAGACTGGCGTTCCCGAGTTCCCCGTTCAGTTCTTCATCAAGCGACCTAGCGGCACCGATCCTGAAGAGGGCGAGGAGGCATATCCTGAGGTTGAGCAGATCAAGTACCCCAAGGCGGGCGCTCATAACCCAGTTGTGGATCTCTTGTTTTACGACATCACAAAGAAGGATGTCTTCTCTGTTGATATCGATGGCGCTTTCGCAGATGACGACCGCATCATCAACAACCTCCTTTGGGCCGGTGAAAAGGCTGTCGTCAAAGAAACCAACCGCGTCAGTGATATTCTCAAGGTCGTCGTGATCGATGTCACTTCTCGCACGGGCAAGACTGTCAATACTGTCGACGTCGATAAGATCGATGGTGGCTGGTTTGAGATCTCTCACAACACCAAGTTCATCCCTGCTGACCCTGAGAATGGCCGTGACCACGATGGATACGTTGACTCTTATCTACACGAAGGCTACGAACACCTTGCTTACTTCACCCCTCTTGAGAACCCTGAGCCTATTATGCTCACCAAGGGTGAATGGGAGATCGACGATGCCCCTTCTGCAATTGATCTGGCAAACAATCTAGTGTACTTTATTGCTGCCAAGGAGTCGTCCATCCAACGTCATGTCTACTCTGTTAAGCTCGACGGCACCAAATTGGAGGCTCTGACTGATCCTGGGACTGAGGCCTACTATGATGCCTCGTTCTCCAAGGGAGCCGGTTTTGTTCTTCTGTCATACCGCGGACCCAAGGTTCCCAACCAGAAGGTCATCTCCACACCATCAAGTGTGCATAACTATGAGCATATCATTGAGGACAACGCTGAGCTTGCCGATCGTGCTAAACGCTATGAGCTGCCCGTTATGAAATACGGTACCCTTGATCTTGGCGACGGTGTTGTGGTCAACTATGTCGAGCGTCGTCCTCCCCATTTCGACAAAAAGAAGAAGTACCCTGTGCTTTTCCAGCAGTACTCCGGCCCTGGTTCTCAGTCTGTGACCAAGAGGTTCGCAGTGGACTTCCAGGCTTATGTCGCTTCTGCCCTTGGCTACCTTGTTGTCACCGTTGATCCCCGAGGCACAGGCTTCCTTGGCCGCAAGCACCGTGTTGTAGTCCGAAATCAGCTCGGTGTCCTAGAGTCGCAGGACCACATCGCCGCTGCCCAACATTTTGCTTCTCTTTCTTACGTCGACGCCGATCGCCTCGCCATCTGGGGTTGGTCCTACGGTGGTTTCGCCACTCTCAAGACCCTCGAGCAAGACGCTGGCCGCACTTTCAGCTACGGCATGGCTGTCGCTCCTGTCACTGACTGGCGATTCTACGACAGCATCTACACGGAGCGCTACATGCGTACTCCTCAGGACAACCCCGATGGCTATGACATGTCCATGATCGCCAATGCCACAGCCCTCGGCGGCAATAAGCGCTTCCTTGTCATGCATGGTGTTGCTGATGACAACGTTCACTTCCAGAACTCGCTCACTCTTCTTGACTCGCTGGATTTGGCGGGCGTGGAGAATTACGACGTTCATGTTTTCCCTGATAGCGACCACAGTATTTACTTCCACAATGGAAACCGTATTGTCTATGATAGTAAGTTAACTCCCTACACATATAGAATGAACCAAAGCTAACTTGCTCAGAACTTCGAAACTGGCTCATCAACGCTTTCAATGGCGAGTGGCTCAAGATCTCCGACCCCAAGCCTCATAAAGACGGTGTCGAGAAGGAGAAACGGCAGCTCAGCGAGGATCCTAAGGCTTGAAGAATATTTTCATGGATATCAGTTCACATATTACCATATTAGCATTACTTTGATTCGAATTAAATTATGAACACTACTTCAGCCCATTACATCTAAAGACTAGCATGTATTTCACGTGCTTATAGAAGAGCATTCGAGGAGGTATACATATATTATACTAGCTACTAAATAATGGCTATACAAAAAGGCATTATACAATCATGCGTCGTAAACATACTATTCAAGAATTAAAAGTGGAAGAGACGGCTCGATCTCTTCTTAGCAGCCTTCTCAGCGGCTCTCTTTCTGCGACCAAACTTCTTGACGCGGCTGGCATCACGAGCATGCAACATAACAGCGCTCGAATCACGCTTATCGTTGGAGTGCGCGGTCTCGAGGTTGGAGCAGTTGGGTCGTGTCAGTCTGTTGCGGAATTCATCAACAGCCCAGATCAGAACACCGTTGGTCCAGCCGAAGCCTTCGACGACTTCGTACTCGCCACCGCCTCCAGCAACGTTGGTTGCGTTGTCGGCGTACTTCTCGAACATGATGCCCTCTTCCTCGTCGGAGGTGCTCTGGAGCTTGGGAGTCTCAGAGGTTGAGCCGCCGGTCGCGTACCACGTGCAGAAGGTTGAGTCGAGATATCGCTGTCCAAGACGAAGAGCCAGTCTACGGACCTCGATGAAAGAAGGATCCATGATACCGAAAGTTGCGGGAACTCTCTCGAGTCCGGCCATGAGGATGTGCATCAGAGGAGGCCAGACGTTAGGCTGATCCCATTGCTGACCGGTCTCGACGTTACTGGCAGGAATACCGCCATCAGAGTTGTCGAGGTAGTATTCAACACGCTTGTAGGCATTGTAAACGGCATATGGGTTGTTCTTGAGGTGGTCGGGCGCAGCACCAAGCCAGAAGGGGTAGAATTGGGTAGGACTGAAGAAGACCTGTTGATCCTCGGGGGCATCCTCAGTATCTACCTCCGACGTGTTACGGTCAACCGGGAAGTAGATCTGTTGAGCCTTTGAGGTTAGGTTATAATCAAAGTAGCTCCAAAGAGTCTCGTTCCACAGGAAAGCGTGCATAGCATAGCTTCGGTTGGCAGCAACCTCACGCCACTCGTCGCTAGCACTGCTGTTTCCAGTCTGCTCGTAGAACTCGGCGATGGCAATCTCGTTTCCATACAAGATAGAGTTCAGATCAACAGGGATGATGTTTCTGGTATTGAGGTAACGAAGAGGGAAGTAGTTGTCGCGAATGGCATCATCTGGGCGAGCAATCCACTTTACTGTGTAGTCGAGACCACTCTCAGCACCACTAGCAAGGTTTCCGTATAGGGCTTCCTTTTGCTTAAAGCTGAGTTCTTCGCCGCCAGAGTAGACTTCACCAGATTCTGGAGAGTAGTAGGATTCATTGTTGGCGGTGATGTAATCTTCGCGATATGACTCTGGTCGAGGTCGAGTGTTGGATACGTTGTATCTAGATGCTACGTCAGTAACACAATTGGTCAAGTGAAGCAGTATCCTTACGTGTTGAGGTAGTAGGTCTCGTCGTTGATGTAGACAGGGACTGAGCGGTTGTTCATGAAGAACTCATGCTCCTGCACAAGGAGAGGAATAGCTCGCTCGAGAATATCGGTATCGTTGGTGTACTCGACATAAGCCTTAATCATCTGCGACAGCAGAGGTGGCTGAGATCGGTTGAGGTAGTAGATTCTCGCGCCGTTGGGAACGAAGCCATATTCTTCAATAAAGTCAAGGAAGTTCTCAACAGTGTTCTTCGCAATCTCAATGAAAGAGCCTCCAGTGCGAAGAAGACCCAGAATGATCCAGTAAGAGTCCCAGTAGTAAGGCTCGCGGAAGCGACCACCTGCAACGACGAAAGAGCGGTTGACGGGAATAAAACTGTTGGGACAATCGGAGCAGTTCTTTGCATTTTGATCGTAGCGACGGGTAAGATCAGGCCAAATGTCAATAACCTTTTCGGTGAATTCCCTAATAACAGTATCGTTGATGTTATCTAGGAATTGAGGGTCTGTATCAAGGTCGTCGCTGTCGACTTCTTCCAATTCATTACCAGCATCGTCAAAGTTCTCATCGAGGAAGTCAGCAAGAGCTGAGTTGTTGCGAAGAGGCTTCTCGAGCTTGTCGAAAGCTTCCTGGATCTCGCTCAGAGGGCGAATGGCTGGCCTAGACGAACAATTAGTGTCATGATGACGCTGAAAAGTTGGCTGGAGGAACTTACATATCGACAAAGGTCTTGGAGTCGCTAAAAGGACGAGCGAGTTCGACTTGCTCTAGAATTTCTCCATGGCAGTAAATAGGTGAGTCGCATGGTGCGACGACAGTGCCATTGACATAGAGAGCTGATACAGCAGTGGCAGAGGCAGCCAAAGCTGCAGCAATATGTCGTGGAGAGGGCATCATGAGAAGTACTCTAAGCTACCCTTCAAGAAGAGTTATTGCCAATTGAATAATAGAGATACTGTACAGGATAATAGAGTCAAAAAAAGAAGAGGGATGGGAGAGTAAATATATACAAAAGCCAAGACAAGATGATCATGACATGTTTTCTGAACAGGATTTAGCTTGGCTTAGCTACCTTGGGCGAAGCTACCCTTGTCATGGGTCGTTGCATTGTAAGCCAAGAAGAGAAGAGCTGAAAGACTGAAAGACTTGAGCTTGACGATCATTTGCTCTCTCCACTGCAACTTCCTCTTTTCAAGGTTGACATTTTATTTTAGCGTAGACTTTACGTTGGCCAAGAACATTGACTATATCATTTTTAGTATCATGATGACTGAGGTATCAACCATGATCATGAGTTGCACCTTGCCTCAACAATTATTTCAATCTCTATCATACAATATCTTTTCAATTGAATACTTACATACTTGATCAGTTCATGCAGTGACGTGATGTTTTATTGAATACAACACCCCCCAGACGCCACTAAAATGTAGGCATGAGGAACAAACGTGGAGATTGACAGTTGATCCCTGTTTCTGCTCCTTCTCTTTCCCCCGCACTCTTGGCATTCTACACGTTTCTTGCAGGCCCTATTGGTTAGTGACGTCAAGTTCAGTAATAAGACGCGCAATTCAAAAGAGAAATATTCTAAAGAGTGTGGAATTAAATTATCAAACTCTCCCATGAACGTGTCAGCGGCGTCCTGGCATTGGTCTTGGCTCTCGTTTCCCTTCTCTAACGGTATTAACCATAACAATAACAAGGCATTGAGTTTGTGTGGGGTACAGGAAACTTTGGAGCTTAAACGTGCATGTTTACTGTTTCATGATCGACTTGACTTTCAAGGTTGGGAGTTCTTTCTATTCGGCCCTGATGGAAACTTCTATCTGCAGGAAGTGTCACCGCCAGCAATAATATCTGCAGTTCTCGGGCATCTCCGTTGAATTCTTTATGTAATTCATTCATTACCTGCCTGAATTGTTTAGTCCTCGAGGCTAGGAATATACTTCAACTCCACGTAAACGTTGATCACAATCCTTGTCCTGGCTCTGATCATGATAACGGCCCGATACTATGTAGTTTCTGCCTGTCAAAGACAAACTCAAAAGACATAAGCAGTAAACCCGATTAGAACAGGTTCAATGGAATGCTATTTGTATGTATTCTGTACACTCTATTATATTTACCCCATGACTTATCCAATGTATCCTATTGCGGCACATAGACGCTTCCCTTTCCAATATTTTGTCCCGCACTTGAATCTTGACACTCCCCAAGAACCTTTTCAAAAACCACCTTCAGTCGCTTCAGAACCTCGTCCCCGTTCTGCGCAACCTGGTAATGTGTCACCAATCTACCACCCATAAATTTAAGCCCAACTTCAGCTCCAAGTTCAATGAATCGCTTCGCACTGCACCCTGCAGCCGTGAGATCCAACCACACCATGTTAGTCTCAGTCGGCTCATTGATCTTGCCACCCATGCTGGTCCACAGCTCATCAACCTTGCGCGCCATCTCGTGCGAGGCCTTTAGAGGTCCATCTTGTCCGTTGGGTGCTTTACCAAAGGTTTGCTCGATGGCCACGCGGCCGGCAGAGGTGAGAACGCCGGATTGTCGAAGACCACCGCCGATGGACTTGCGAACCCAGCGAGCGTGCTTCAGTGTGGCCTTGGGACCTACAAGGACACTTCCAGCTGGTGCACCAAGACCCTTAGAAAGGCATAGACTGACAGTATCGAAGTAAGAACAGTATTCGGTCAGGGAACCAGCTCCGGATACGATAGCTTCCCATAGTCGTGCGCCATCCAAGTGAAGCTTGATATCATGTTGTCTAGCAAACTCGGCGATGCGCTTAACCTCGCTCAAGGGCATAATCATGCCATGGAGAGTATTCTCAAGACTGATCACTCGTGTAGGGCAGCCGTGAACATCATCATCCAGAGTCACGTTCTCCTGAATTTCTTCTAGGGTCATATATCTGCCGTTCTTGGGAATAACGGTTTGAATTTGAGCTCCGGTGAGATTTGAAGTACTAATACATCAGTCAAGATGCTTTGACATAATTAGATTCCATGGTACTTACCCGCCGGCTTCAGCTGTGAAGATATGAGCACGGTAGTCGCAGACCACCGAGTAAGGTGGTTGTGTTAGAAGAGATCTTAGAGCAAGTTGGTTTCCCATCGTGCCTGAGAGGACGAAAAGACCGGCTTCTTTGCCTGTGCGCTCAGCGACATAGGCTTCGAGATCATTTGTGGCAGGGTCCTCCTGGAAGACATCATCCAGCAAGGAGCATGTTGAGATAGCCTCAAGCATAGCCGGAGTTGGAGTTGTAACCGTATCACCTGGACGACCGAACGTTAGAAAGCTTAAAATTGGCCAAAGTTCAACATACTTCGAAGATCAAGAGCAGCAGGGCCCTTAGCACCAAGCCACGCATTATGAGGCTTCTCAGAGATAACGTCTCCCATCTTGACAGCAGACGAAGCAAAAGTTCTTTGAAAGGATACAATTGGACGAGCTTTTACAATTGAAGCGGGATGAGATTGAAATGAAATATTGCGAATTGCTGGTGATGCGATAAGTCGAAACGAGCGACTCATGATGATAGAGAGCGATTAAGTCAAAAGCAAAGGCTCAAAGTATCTCCGTAAACCGGATGGAGCGAATAGTAACGTCAAATCAAGGGCGCAACCTCCACAAAATGTCAACGGTTAAACGTGAGGGGAAGCGGAAGGCGGAAGTGGGAAAAAGGATCTCGGACATTTGACCGTTTGACTTGACACCTCCAGCTGCCGAGGCCGATTCCGCTCCGTCTCGGCTCCGGTCAAAAGTGTATGGAGCTCTCCCCCGCATAAACTCCAAGATTCAACATCGTGAGCTGTCAATTATTCCCGTTTTATATGCTGACTTAGTAAAAGAAACAGAATTACAGCACTACGATATCTTTGATTACAAACATTTGTAATGCTCTATATTTAACTTCATGTTATCTTGCTAGTTCCATCGTCTCAAATGCTAGAAGGAATAGCGGGTCTCGGAGTCACTATACGAGAACTCCTGGAGTGCCCTTACCTGCGCATCGATAAGATAGATTAGTATGAATCCTACTCCAGCCACAATATACCACATGAAACAAACTTGTCCAACAGTCTACAGACTCCCATGCACGTAGCTGCGGCACTTGGCCAAAACTGCCGGTTGACAGGCACTGTCAAACTTATCGGACCAATAGTAGACAGCTGCGCGTACAGCGCTACATGAACTCGTTCGTGTAACTGTCTTGCCATATTCCCGCTTCAGGTCGTAGCGAATGCAATTTGACCTCTTGGAAAGCGATCCCCAAATCCTTCCTGGTGATTTGATGCCGTCTTTACCGATCCAGTTCCTCGTCGCTATCACAGATGTATGCCTCTAGAGCGGCTGACAAGAGCCATGCGACACTGACACTCTTTAACTTACCCGTTCTACTTCTTTCTTTCGTTTACTGTTGCACCATCAAGCCATGGCGTCTCGCATTTCTTCTCGTTGCTTTATCTTGTTGGGGCCCCTGATTTGTGTGGTGATAATTCTTTCCAGACAGCCATATTTCCAACACTCGCACCTCCATCGTATTACCGACGCAGATATCAGAGTGACCCAAGAGCTCCCAAAGCTCAACTTTTCCAGATCTCACAAAGAGTATTACGCCTCAGACGCTGCTCATTCCATATGCGCCGCACATGGGTACTCTGTCTTCAAGCCCCACGAAGATGCTCCAAATGATCGCCGTAAGATATACGACCTCTCCATGGTCAACACCGAGTTGGACTTTCTCGAAATTCGACTCAAGACCTTGTATGATTTTGTCGACTACTTCATTATCGTCGAGGCACCCCTTACCTTCCAGGGCGGGTCGAAAGATCTCGTTATTCGCGACAACTGGAAGCGCTTCGAAGCATATCATGACAAGATGATATATCATAAGCTCGAATACCCGAAGGACTTCAAGCCTCTGCGTCACTGGGATCGTGAAGACTTGCAGCGTAACGCCATGTTTGAACAAGTCTTCCCAAAACTTACCGGTGAGCGAGTCCCATCTCAGGGCGACGTCATTCTGGTCGCCGATGTCGACGAGGTTCCCCGTCCAGCAACAATGCTTGTCCTTCGAACATGCAATTTCCCACGTCGTCTCACACTATCCTCAAAATTCTACTATTACTCGTTTGAGTTTCTCCATGACGGACCTGAGTGGCCATTCCCGCAAGCGACCGACTATCAAGGTATGCGCAAGACAATCTTGCCAGGGAACCTGCGTACTGGCGATGGAGGCATTCCTATCCTACGTGATCGGGAAAAGGGTGTGCTGGAGAATGCGGGGTGGCATTGCAGTTCATGCTTCGCGACGATGGAACAGTTTCTGAACAAGATGGCCAGTTTCTCGCATGCGTGGATGAACCGTAAAGCATTCCGCGACCGAGATCGCATTGCCCATGCGGTACGTCAGGGTGTTGACTTATGGGGGCGCAAGCAGGATACTTTCACACGGATTGAGAATAATGTTGACCTTCCCAACTGTTTACTCGAGGAACAAGAACGGTTTCGATATATGCTAGATCGAGATGACGAGACAGCCGGGTTTTCGGACTACCCATGAGTGTACCTTGTCGGTATGGCAGAAATTGTTGTGTTGGGGAAGGTATCTAGCTCCTCTGCGCATTGTCAGAATACCCATGGAATGCTATAAACCGATTCGGTCTATAGGGTCTTGAGCATGGGATTGCTTCGGTCTTTTCAAACTGGTTTCGAATCTCTTGTCGAAAACTCCAGGTTATATCTTGATTGAGAATGTATATGTAGGTGGTAAGTGCCAAGTGGGAGGGAATTCAGTTGAAGGGTTACTCTGCCCAGACTACGCCCAACCTGAAACTGATACGGAAGGAGTGATTTGAACTCGAATGTTGGAAAAGGAAGGAATGTGCCGAAAGAAGTGGCCCTCTGACGGCAACAACCTTCTCCCTCTGTACCTACCTTGACTTAGCTCACTTGCCTAACCAACTTCAAGTCAGGCATCCATCAACAAGAATCCACCCTTTTAATTCCTCCTCCACCAACTCGTAATTCCATAATTCAAACACTGTCAATTAACTTCTCCAACTCAGCTCAGCTGTTCTCTGAGCAGCGACCATGATATTGATCACACTCACCAGCTGATCCTCGTGTCAGCGTCAGCTCTATCACGCAAATGTTCCAGCTCGGACCTGTCAGTCGTCCAGTCACGATAGCCTCAGGGCTAACCTCCAACGACCATCCCCGCGAATGAGCCGCCAGCGTCAACAATTCCAGGGATTCGAGAGTCATTCGGAACTTGAGCCGTGTGAAGGAGGTCCATTTGCAGAAAAGCCATTGTCTAGCGCAAGGCACTCGATTCGCTCACAGGTCTTGACAGCGCTCCAATGAAAAGTCTGAATCCACCTTTTCCAAAACCTCGAATTCCAGCTCATTTCCTTCCAGGGAAATAATAATTTCGACCTTTTCCCACACGATATTGTTCTTTCTTATTTTGCTTCTTCTTCCAACTCTGATCGAAACGACGTACGCTTGAATCCGCTTTCCAAAATGCTCAAAATCATCGTTTGTTGGGAAACCAATTACACGATTTGTCGAACCATCCTACCACTCCGTCTCCACCCCCGTACCGATAACCCTCCGCTCCGCGTCCGTTCACCGCCGCCCCCGTCTGATCGGAGCTCCCGAAGGGCTGTTCACGAGGTGCCGGGTGCAGCATGATCTCATCACACTTGTTCAACTTGCAGAAAGTCTTCAAGTTATTTGGAACCTGAACCTGCTTTTAATACTGACCCTCGTTCAGTCACAACCCACGACTTAAAACCTTACGAGAAGCTGAATTCCTCATCATCATGTTCTCTGAGGATTCGATTGCGGCTGGCGAAACCCTTCGACTTACACTACTCGATCTTGAAGGGCAGAGCCCCATTGGCAACGACTGACGCCAGCAAGACCCTGAGGCGGCAAGCGACCATCTAGGAAAGGGACCCGTTCATCGGAAGCACTTGGCCGTTCAAGAAAACGACAGCGCCCAGTCAGAGGCACCCACGATATCCCTCCCTGCTGCACCTCAGATCCTCACCAGTTCGTTCGCTCAGCCGGGGTTGGGTGCGGGAGGAAAGGCGATGCGATGCGTGATGCGAGGCGGGATTGACAGGGCGAGGGAGCCACTGCAAACTGGCGTGCGGCGCTTGTTAACTGCAGCGATGAGTTGGCCAACGCATCAAGTGGTCCGTGTGTAGCCTCCCAGATATTCCCTTGACAGGCCCCTCCCTCACATCTCCTTCCTCTTCCCTTCTGACTTGAACGAACAATTTCACTCTTTCTTTTCTTAATTCAATCTCATGGTTTTCCTTGGTACTTTTTATGTTTAATCGTCTTTTTTCTAGTACAAAAGGCCTCATGAGTGTTGAAAACGGGTGGTGATAAGTATCCACACCCCGGCATCACCTGGACATCCTCCGCTTCACACTGACAACTCACCCCATGTCATCTGGGACAGGACTTTTTACGACAATTCAACATGTTTAAAAGTTGCCCAAGCCCGTCACTATGGTACAAGAGCCTATTTGTGTGCCGACTTCAACCTGAGTTACGCAGCTCGAAAGAGACGACCACTGGTTATTTCTATTGGGTTCGCAACGAACGCCTATCTCATTTACACCACCAAACCTTGTATTCGGATCTGAATCCGAATTCCTAGTCTATAACACGCCTCGCTTCCATCAGCTACCATGCCAAAAATCGGGACAAACAATCTCATAACGACATAATCATTCAATCATCAGCCGTTTCTAATCAGCCGCTTGCAGATTACTTACACAAGCTGTGGCCGACAACTGCCCATGCTTTGCTCGATCAAATATGTTCCACCAAGGAAAAAAAAAAGCCAACGTCCAAGGATCGTATCATCATCAACAGAAATAACAGGGCTGTCAACAATAGCAGCGCCACCCACGGCTCCGGTACAAAACAACAAAAAGGTAGTGAGGAACGGCAAGCGCCAACCCTCCTATACAGAACTGGCGTTCCTAAGCCAAGGGCCTCTTCTTTCTCTAGCCAGTGCTGAATTTCTTCCTATGCAAGCTTATGCTCTCCAAAAGATAAAGGAAAAGGTGTCATGGATCCCAAGACTCTGAAAATGGCGATGTAAGAACAGCGAAGAAGTCTTCGAGATGACTGTCAATAGCCGTGAGCCAACAGTTGGCTGAGAGTCGTGAGCTCGTGAGAGGAAATTTATATATGGTTACCGTTGGTCTTTTCATTCACTCCACTGTTGAACCGGCCTTCTGTCTTGTCCTCGGTATAGAGGTCCCAGCCTCTCGCAAACATAGGCATCTGTCCGGTAACCGTTGGGACAACCAATGCATACCGGACCGCCTTGGTTCTTCGCACAGGAGGCTCTGAAATGGTTCCAGAAAAGCATTTTACGACCTCTGTACTAGCGATGTTTATGCCAGTTATGGGCGCGTGGCATATTTCATTAGAAACTCGACTACAGCGTCAAGGTTTGTCTCTTCTTTCGCACTGATGCCATAGCAGCACACCTCACGTCCGCGTATGCTCTTCAGGTCTAGTTCGTCGATCAACTCGTCCACTGAGAGCTTGTCTGGAAGGTCGGATTTGTTCCCTAGGATAAGAAGAGGGATACCCTCAAGCGATTTGCGGCTCATAAGATCGTGGAGTTCTTCTTTGGCCTGTGGGATTAATGGGGTGTCGGCAATATCCACGATGAACACGATGGCGCTCACGCCCCGACAATATCTCTCCCACATAGTTCGGAAACGAGGCTGGCCACCGATGTCCCAGCATTTCAGGGTAACATGGCCACGCTGGACCTTTTTCATATTGAAACCCACGGTTGGAATCGAGCTACGCAGCATCTGGAGTCAGCACTGGAAACTTTACGACACGAAGTAATCGGAACCATCGCATCGGTATCGCAGAAACACAAAGACGGTGTCGTTAATGGAAGAGGCTTACTCAAGGGTGAATTCGCCGCCCTATAAACACAACAGAAGTCAGCGAGAGGCGGTCAAGCAAGGGACCGGATATCAACACCTACAGCGAGAACTCGTAATAGCGAAGTCTTGCCAGCATTTTGCAAGCCAACCATCGTCACTTCCATCTCCATCGCCCTGCAAAATATCGTCAGTATGTGGTTTCAAAGTCTGTCACAGCCGGGTAGCAACGGCAGGCAGCAAAGAAACTGGCATTTGCTATTCAAAAATTGGCCACTCGCGAGTACTCACCAAAACATTCGCATCAGCCAATTGTATACCCTTTGAAATATCCCCGCCATGTTTACTATCGGGCCACAGAGGACACTACTCGGACTGCGACAGGCGGTCGGGTGAGGGCGGGATGCTGGTTAGCACGATGCTATGATTGTGTCGGCTATCGCAAAAACACGAGAAAATCTGTCTTTTTTGCAAAATGCTTCTCCTGAACTATAAAGCGCAAGGAAATCGATTTCGATCCGATGGATGAAGATGTGGCGGGCGGGGTGCTTTATGAACAGAGCAATTCTTGTTGGAGCTCAGCTGCAGGGTCGTAGTTGGAGGTGACAAAACAGACAAGGAGCAGAACGGCGGTTCAGGAAGAAAAGCGATCTGTATGACGGCGGCAGGCGACGAGTAACATCTGCAACTGTGAAGTTGTGCGCGCCAGCGTCTAGGCGTTTGGGGTCGGCGTGGGTGTCGGACGCGGGTTCTGGCGGCGATGGAAATAGTGAAGGAGGAGAGGCTCGTGGTGCAACGACGGAGGAGCAGTACCTAGATTGGCACAGGTGACGCCTGGGCGGAGGCACAAAAAAATGCCCCACCTAGGACGAGATGACGGCCGAGACAGTTGATAGAGACCAGAACAGGCACTCAAAAGACACCAAAAGGCCGCCAGAGAGACAACCAACGAGCACGAGCCTTTGGGGCCCTTGAGGGGGCGAGGAATGGGGAAAGTGGTGGGAACGACCCGTGCCTGGCGGCGCAAGTAGCGTTGGTTTTAGCGCAGATGCAGCGCCAAAGGAACCCAGAAAGGTTACAGAGATAGGTAGGTTCTAATACTGTGGGTGGTAAACTCAAGCTGTAGGGGCTGTACTGATGTCTGCAAAAGTTGAAGTGCCTGGTAGTTATAGACTGAAAAATACTCAATGCTCAAAAAGACTAAGGATATCGTCGATAACTGCTCAAGTTGACGACAGCACCAGGCCGAGAAGCCTGAAGTTAATACAGGGATAAGCAGTATACGGGAGCGCCAAAAGTAGTGATTGGGGACTGCAGGTAGTCGCGGGGTGTTGTGACATTCCAGTCTTCAATCACCTGGTCCAGCTAGAGGTGGCAGCAGTGTGGGTTAGGCGCTGCGGCGTTTCATTCGTTTGCTGAGACTCGAGCTTGCTTGAGTGGAGCGATGATCGACCAGGGCACGCAGGGCTCTAGGACCGTGTCGACGTCAGTGCTCAAAGTCGAGGTCTTCTGAAGGCGCCTAACAGTGTTTTGCATTCAACCACCTGGGTTCCCGGTCGTTGGCAGAGCGGTTAGAGACGAAGGAACAGGCTGGGTAGTGGCAGTGGGCGTCAGAGGTTGTTGTTTTGGACGTCTGTTAATCAATCTCCTCCACGGTTAGCTGCAGGGACCTTACAGAACGGGAGCCGGCAAACAAACCGAGTCTGAGTGGTATATAGTGCAGAGTACTTAGGTGCTATAGGAAACTTTTCGTGGAATATACCCAAGTTTATGACCAAGATTGGGACTATCGCAGGCGATGAATACTCGAAACTAATTTTAACTGGATCTTTTGACTGTCCCATATCCTCTCAGCTTCTGTAGTAATAACAATTGTAAAGAAGACCTACCTTTCTTCAAATTTGGAGATGTATCGGAACTAATGCACACCCACTAGACACGATCACTGCCTTGGTTGGCGATCAATACCAGATTTGCCCAAGCAAGGTACTCAACTGACCAGGCCTCGACCTCTTTGAGATGAGATTACAAGGAAGATAGATATCAGATCTCCTCTCGTAGTGCAGCTCCCTTCGGATCGTAGAATTTCGAATACGGGCGTTTTGAAGTGCTTGAATGCTGTGTTGCAATAACACATGTAAACTGTGGGTCTAGGATCGCCAGCCACGAAAAGCCACAACTAAAATGGATGCTGATAACGAGTCGAACTTTGTAGCTAGTACTGTAGGAGCCAACGACGCTGTGGGCTCAAGCAATAGGCTTTAGGGCGAGTCTCATATCAAGAGAGGCAGCCAACCGGTAGAATCTTGATATCTGATGACCGAGGCGCAGGTAACCTTGACATCGAGATGTATGAATGAATGCAGGACGATATTATAGGTACTAACGTTAAGGTGTTGACAGAAATTGAAGAACGGAAGATGATGACTGCCTTACTGCCTGCAACTGCTTCTCACCACAAAAGGTGCATCAAAGCGAGAGCGTTAGGCTCTTGCCATTCCAATTTTCCTGCAAGTCAAGATGCAAGAGCAACCGAGGTCAGGAAATGGCCCATTCTGATTAGGTTATTCGCAAACGGGCTGGCCTGGGCTGGGCTACGTTTGGTCTCCCGTCGTCCTTGTACCTGCAAATGCACGCTCGGTTGGGCTGCAGTTACTGCATGGAAGTATCGGCTTCCAGGGTTTGGTGGCGCCTGGTTTAATTCGTTCAGAGATTAGAAGGTCGTTACTTCGGGCTTCAAGATGGTCATGTCCTGTCACCCCAATACCTCGTGGAGGTGGCGGCCGGGTAGATTTGCAATACTGTACTCCCAACGTCTCGCGTCCTTGGTTTGAGTAAGTGTTGGTCTATACAGCCTGCTAGGATAGATACTAGAGCGTGGGTCTATGCTACTACGGTGACCTCTTTTTGGATCGTTATTTAGATAGCGAATATGCCAGTTTCTAAAAAGCAGAATAAATCTCTCCAGACAACTTATCTTGAGTTGCACTGCTATAAACTCCCCCATCTTAGCTCTTACTGTAGCTTCGGAAAATGGCCCCCATCTTGGTTCGACTTACACAGTCAGCGTCGTACCTATTTCCCAGGCACCAGCTTTAGGCTTTTCTCGCTTTAGAAGCGGTGATTGGCAACACAAAGGAGCCAGGTTTTTTTGCTAATCAGACCTTGTGACTTGAGAACACTTAGTTAATTCGTCACCATTCTCGTTTATTACCGTCTCAGTGAGAGTCCTGAAACGAAGTGCATCGGAGTTCGTTTGGTCTCGCATAGGTCGGATCTCCGGAGTAAACTTTTCAACGGTGTATCTATTTGCAATAAGGATATTGCTCAAGGTCAAAGTTTCGAAGCTTGCCAACAAAAACAATAGCTCTTTACTCTGATTTCATCAGTGTCATGGCAATGATGGCTAGAATAAGTTCCGCGCTCAGCCATGAAGGTTTCTCATTGGGTCGTCATATGCCCCACCTGTATGCGATAAGATAAGACTTACGGACCGAGCTCAACTTTTTTTTTCCGCATTCATAGCAAGCAACTTTTTTTTCTGCCATTGCGATAGCCTCAATCATCCTTTGCGAGCGGCCCAATTGACGAATGTCTACCGCTCCTTACTATTCATAAGGATAGCAAAGGCTTCGCAGATCATCTACATCTCTGCGACTTACTTGACACCATTTGTTTTGGTTACAGTGCTTTTGTGTAGAAGAGAGTAACCAATACGTTTTGAGGTCGCCCTCCCCAGTCAACATGGCACCCAAGGCCGCCACCGAAACCGAGTGGGATCACCAGTTCCACACTCTGCGCCGCGAGAACCTCTTCCGAAACCCTCCCAAGGATCACAGCGCCTACCCTGCTCTCCAAGAAGCCGTCGATCCCCATCTTCAGTCCTTCAATGCTATATTCCGCGACGATGGCAAGCCTGGTCTGTTGACGCACGGCTTAGCCGACATTGGCAGCAAAACTTTCCTCGATGGCGACGACCGCGCTCCCACTGCTGGCAGGAACACTATTAGCATTCGATACAAGGATGTCTTTCTCCAGAAGCCTCAGATTCCCCCTTCTAATAAGATGGCACGAAACCGTCAGATCTTCCCCTCCGAGTGCAGAGAGCGTCATGTCACATACAGAGGAAAACTCTCCGCTACTCTAGAGTATCGAGTTAACGGCGGTGACCCGATCGAGTTTACTCGAGAATTCGGTCAGGTGCCCGTCATGGTCAAGGTTTGTCGCAAATCTCCAGTGCTGCAAGTCCCTTACTCACCGTAACTAGTCAAACAGATGCCATCTTGAAGGCAACTCGCCCGCACTGCTTGTTGAGAGAAAAGAGGAGTCCGAGGAGCTTGGAGGTTACTTTGTTGTTAACGGTATCGAGAAGATCATTCGAATGCTGCAGTTGAACAAGCGAAACTTTCCCATGGCCATCAACCGGCCTAGTTTCCAGAACCGTGGCCCTGGTTACACTCCCTACGGTATCATTCTCCGTGCGGTCCGTCCCGACGAGACTTCTCAGACCAACGTTCTTCACTACCTCAACGATGGCAACATGACCTTCCGTTTCTCATGGCGCAAGAACGAATACCTTATTCCCGTTATGATGATTCTTAAGGCCCTGGTGGAGACCAACGATCGCGAAATTTACGAGGGACTCATTGGTCCTGCCGGTTCCAAGTCTACCGAGAACACTTTCCTTACGGACCGAATCGAGCTTCTGCTACGCACGTACAAGTCCTACAACCTCTACAGCAAGTCGGACACCCGAGCATTCTTGGGTGAGAAGTTCCGTGTCGTTCTTGGAGTTCCAGACACTATGACCAACTACGAGGTTGGTACCGAGTTCTTGCGAAAGATTGTCCTGGTTCATCTCGGTAACGTTGATGTTACCGAGGAGCAAGACATTGAGAAGTACAAGCTGCTGCTCTTCATGATTCGAAAGCTCTATGCGCTCGTTGCTGGAGAATGTGCTGTCGACAACCCCGATGCCCTCCAGAACCAGGAGATTTTGCTTGGTGGTTTCCTTTACGGACAAATTCTCAAGGAAAGACTCGACGAGTTCCTCAGCGTCAATGTCCGTGCATCCCTACGAGACTACCTTCGAAGAAACCCTGCTGTATCATTCGCCTCCGAGGACTTCCGCAAAGAGTTCCCCAACAACATTTTCCGCAAGGCCAACGAAAACCTTGGTAACGCTCTGGAATATTTCCTGTCAACAGGTAACTTGCAGAGCCAGTCGGGTCTCGACTTGCAACAAACGGCTGGTTTCACAGTTGTGGCCGAAAAGCTCAACTTCCTACGATTTATCGCCCATTTCCGCATGGTCCATCGTGGTGCTTTCTTCGCTCAACTGAAGACAACAGCTGTACGAAAGCTGCTTCCAGAGTCATGGGGTTTCATGTGTCCAGTCCACACACCTGATGGTGCTCCTTGTGGTCTCCTCAATCATCTTTCGCACAAATGCTCCATTATGACGTCTCAAGTCGACGTATCTAACATCCCACACCTTGCTGCCTCACTGGGAGTTGTTGATGTCTCTTCTGCCTCAACTGACGAGAATGTTCCCGTATTGTTGGATGGCAGAGTCCTCGGATACTGTACTCCCAAGGAGTCTATCAGGATTGCCGACTGCTTCCGATACTGGAAGGTGGAGGGCACCCACGGAGTTCCCCTGCAACTCGAGATCGGCTACGTCCCTCCTTCCGGAGGCGGTTCTTATCCCGGTATCTACATGACTTCGACACCCGCGAGAATGGTGCGCCCTGTGAAGTACCTTCCTCTGCAGAAGGAGGATTGGGTCGGTCCGTACGAGCAGCCCTACATGAGCATCGCCGTCGTGGATCAGGAAATCGAGTCCGGCAAGTCAACTCACGTTGAGTTTGATATTACCAACATCTTTTCGATCTTAGCCAATATGACGCCCTTCTCGAACCAAAATCAATCGCCAAGAAATATGTACCAGTGTCAGATGGCCAAACAGACGATGGGAACTCCCGGTACTGCTTCAAAATACCGAGGAGATAACAAGAGTTATTTGATTCAAACAGGACAAACACCGATCGTTCGATCACCACTCCACAACACTTACGGCTTCGATAATTTCCCCAATGGGTTCAACGCTGTCGTCGCGGTAATCTCGTATACTGGATACGACATGGACGACGCAATGATTCTCAACAAGAGTGCTCACGAGCGTGGATTCGGTCATGGTACTATCTACAAGACAAAGAAGATTTCACTTAAGGACGATTCTCGAACGAAAGCTACCAAGAGTGTCACCAAGGCCTTTGGATTTGCCCCTCACAGCTATGTGAGTTCCCACCACCAAGGCATGTTAGACGACGATGGCCTGCCTCATGTTGGTCGTCTAATTCAAGAGGGAGACGTCATCTGTGCCTGGCACACCGTGACTCCTGATTACAATGGCAAACTGGTGAACCTGGATGGCGTCACCCATTACGAAAAGTACAAGGATTCGGAGGAAGGTTTCATCGACAAGGTGACACTTATTGGCGCCGAGTCTGGTAACGAGCCCCTCCAGACAATCTCTGTCAAGTTCAGAATTCCCCGATCGCCCATTGTCGGCGACAAGTTCTCCTCCCGTCACGGACAGAAGGGTGTTGCTTCACAGAAGTGGCCAACAATGGATCTGCCATTCTCTGAGACCGGTATCTCTCCTGATATCATTATTAACCCCCACGCCTTCCCCTCACGTATGACCATCGGAATGCGAGTCTCCCCGCCGTTTTTGATATGAGAGACCAGATTTACTAACAGGACTTAGGTTTGTCGAAAGTTTAGCAGGCAAGGCTGGTGCGCTGCACGGTATTGCACAAGACGCAACCCCGTTCAAATTTGATGAAGAAAACACGTCGGGAGATTACTTTGGTCACCAGCTGATGAAGGCCGGCTACAATTACCATGGAAACGAGCCCATGTACTCAGGAATCACTGGAGAGGAGCTGCATGCGGACATCTACATCGGACTCGTCTACTATCAGCGACTACGACACATGGTGAACGATAAATACCAGGTGCGAACCACAGGCCCCGTCGTACCGACGACTGGTCAGCCTATCAAGGGTCGAAAGAGAGGTGGTGGTATTCGTGTCGGAGAAATGGAGCGTGATGCTCTTTTGGCACACGGAACTGCTTTCCTGCTTCAGGATCGTTTGCTCAACTGTTCCGATTACTCCAAATCATGGATCTGCCGCCGATGTGGTTCGTTCCTTTCTGTGCAGCCTACAGTGTCACACTTTGCCCCGAGCAAGAAGAAGGCTGCAAGTATCGTGCGATGCCGTGCTTGCGCGATCAAGCTCGATGATACGGAAGGCATCGACTTAACTGAGGTGGCTGGTGAGATCTGGGAAGATGGACATGGTAACTCTTGGGTCGGTGGTGACCAAACTACGCAGGTTGTCGTTCCTGGTGCGCTCAAGTACCTCGATGTGGAGCTCGCTGCGATGGGTGTGAAGCTCAAGTATAAGGTGGAGCGCAATGACGAGCCGAGAAAGGGCCCTATGAAGCCCATGGCGTTGGATGGAGTTCGGGTTGGAAAATAGATGGCTATAGTGTGTTGATTTACTTGATTTTGCTGGAGCTATTATATCAGGAGGTGGCCTATGTATACTCAGGATGGTATAACATGCTAATACGACTATGAATTACAATACTTTCTCACGATCCATCGATCTTCTGCAGGGCATTGCATTTTTCCTGGTGCACGCAACGACAAATGTGATTAGACAAAGCCGGATAAGGGTAATGATATTGAAGAGTTGAAGAGTTGAGGAATTGAAGATGAGTAGAAGAAACGAATTGAGGAATTGAAAAATTGAAGAGAAGGCAAAGGAAGAAGACCTATGCACATAGGATGACAAAGTCAGCATCTAAGGTCTTGTATGTGTTACAAAACTCTTGTCGCAAGATCGGAATCATCAAGACACGCTCACCGCCCTCCTCACCTTACAATCTACTGCGAACCATTGACATGCGCGTCCTTGAATGACGTATACTGCTACTCAAGTACGCCCATTCTGCACCACGACTACAGTGTGCTTGATAAGCAACAGGAACCGGCAACGGTTAGCCTTGATACCACAGTGGCATGAGCAAGGACACGACGGAAAACCAAGTTGAGATCTGATTATAGTAGTGTGTTCTCCATTCTCAGTCATTGTGTTTTTGTCGCATCTCAATAACAAGTTGTGCCTGTAATCACATAGACTTCATGCAAGAGTCTATCTCCTGTTCGATGTCAGGGTACTCGGCATCTGACTCCGGGCAAACGGGAAGCGGAGCAAGGAAACGTGGTCAGTCGAGTGCAATGCAAGGGGAGACAAGAATCATGCTGCGTTGCGTATATCTTGTCAGGGAAACCGAGTGATACAAGCAGCATAGGGCGGCTGCTTCTAGCCGAGACGTCGAGCGAATGGCATGAATATCAACGAGTGTTTGTCACTCAAAGGAGAAATGTAACAAGCCGTTCTGTGAATCCGTCCATCGAATCAATGCAAGTCAAGGATAGCTCATAGTGCACACCACAACGTGGAAATCCGAAATGGCGGAGTGTTGTGTTGTGTTGTTGTCTTCATATCCACATGTGCCGTTGTTGCTCACTCCAAGATGAAATGCATTAATAAAGCTTCTTCCTCTCTCCTAGCTTGTCAGTTCGATTATTTCGATGAGATGAAGCTCTTGTGATATTCATTTTGACATAGTAGTAGCTGTTGGTTGCACCTGCCTCGGGGCGCATATTTACAAAATCTGGGCAAGAGCCAACTGCACCTTCCCAGCCTCGACCTCCTGAAAATCTTAACTTCCAACACTTCATTTCGAATTTTTCTCAGGCTTCATCTTCCTTCATCCTCTCTTCCATGAGGCCACCAACCATGCAGTCGCGGTTCATCTGGCTGCTTCCACTCTTTTTTGCAGTCGTGGCAGCTCAGAGTTATTCTTATGGCGTCGATATCGACACACTCACTCGCAGACAAGACAATGGCCGCATAGTTATCAAGCCTCTTCCACAAACCCGCAATGGCACCGTTCCCCTCAGACCTGAGATCCGCGAGATGCAAGCCGACAAATACAAATGGGACCTCTATATCCTCTCCATGAGCATGTTGATGGATGTCAATCAGGATGACCCTGCCTCGTGGTACCAGATCGCCGGTATGTTCTTGACACTGTCTCAGCCAGAAGGCCGTCAATACGGCCATACTAACACTTGGCTTCTCCAGGAATTCATGGCGTCCCTTTCGAAGCGTGGAACGGCGTTGAGGCTGCTCCAGGAGCTAATCAGTCTGGTTACTGTACTCACAACTCCGTTCTGTTTCCAATGTGGCACCGGCCATACTTGACTCTTTTCGAGGTATGGACACTAGGATTTGGATCTCGTTTACCACACGTGCTGACCATATCCAATAGCAAGAACTTTACCGAATGGCCAACGTCATTGCCGGCATGTTTCCTAACGGGACCGACCGACAGTCATACATAGATGCTGCGCGCGACTTTCGTATGCCATATTGGAACTGGGCGATGCCTGCTCCTGAAGGGGAGTCACACTTCCCTGACGTTTTCTGGAACAAGACTATCTCTCAGAATGGTCCGCGGGGTGTCCAGGACATACACAATCCTCTTTACTCTTACCAGTTCCATCCCAAGAACGCAACTGCCATGATATGGACCCCTGTGAGTATTGCAGTTTAATTATGGTAAATTTTAATACTGATAACTCATCGTTTAGTTAAGAAACTGGAACGAGACGAAGAGAGCTCCAAACTCGACCGAAGCCGGCAGTCAGGAACCAACATCCGACAACGAGCAAGTCAACAGGGCTCTACTATCAAAGCTCCCCGAGATCCAACGTCGTCTTTCGACGCTTTTCTCCAGTTACAAGGATTTTAACAGTTTTGGTAGCAAGGCATGGGCTTTTTCGAACAACTCAACTCTAGACTCGCTCGAATCGGTCCACGACATTATTCATATCTTCGGCGGACTCCAAGGTCATATGACTTTTGTTCCACTGTCTTCTTTCGATCCATTGTTCCTCCTTCATCACACCATGACGGATAGACTCGTGGCAATATGGCAGACTATGAATCCAGACTCGTGGTTGACCCCTCTACCAGCAGGAGAGAATAGTTTCACATCTATCAAAGGCGAGATGCAAGATTCTCAGTCGCCATTGACACCTTTCTTGTCGTCTGAAGATGGCACTTTCTGGAATTCTGATACTGCCAGAACTACAGAAGCCTTTGGCTATGCATATGCCGATACAGATCTAACAGGGAAGCAGAAAGAAGATGTCCGACAAGAATTACAGAAGAAGATAACTGACTGGTGGGGAGGCGATTCTGTGTCGCTGCTGGCTTCCACCAAGTACCCTGCGGCTACAGAATGGGTTGCCGACGTGCGATTGAATGTACTCCACGATCATACCTTCACCTTCATTCATTTTTTCCTGGGCGATCCCTTGGGTGGTCACCAGAGTTGGCTTTCTGCGCAAAACAATGTTGGCAGTGTCTTAGTTTCTAGCGGTCTAAACACGACAGCGGTGGTAGGGGTACATTTGACGCCTGAAATGATGAGGGGAGTCCAGGCCAGAGAGATGATTGAGAAGCTACAGTTCCGTATAGTCGAGAACGGCAATGTGGTTTCCCCGGACGATGTAGATTTACGCATACAGCTTGTCCGTGATGATGGAACATTAATCAAGTTGTGGGGTTAGATTCAAGGACTTTGAAGTGTTTAGGACAACAGATTATCACTAACTAGGAAAGGATTTATCCTTAATTAGACACAAGATATCATTAATAATTCATAAAAGATGCTGTTCTAAGAATTTGTAAAAGTTTAGGAGATTTTAGTCTAGCTTATGCAAGGTCTTTAGGTAAAATGGTGACAATGAATACCACCCAAAATTGAGGTAGCTTATATTACCGTGACTATAATGCTCTGCTTCGTATATCTGCGTTTTAGATTCGTTTATGGCTTATGGGGTAGTACCGAGGCTGATACTCCAAAACATAACGAAGTGCTTTCCAGTTTCGATGCAGGCTAACGTTAGCCGTTCTTGAATTGGGAGGTTGAATTGGGGTTGGCGTTCGTGGCACATGTTCATCTCATGTTAGTATTGTAACATTAAACTAGTCGATGTCTCTAAAACGCTGTATGCCTTACTTCTTTCTGTCTTTAGTTATTAACTAACTTTTGACACAATCTATACTCGAATACATAGGCTGCTCTATCCAGATCGTTCAACTTAACATACAACCCGTTACAGAAATGTCAGAATTAGATATCCCGTCTGTTCCTCCGCCATGGACTCTCAAAGGGAGTTCTGCCTTCATCTTCTGACATCTCCATCCCAAGCTGCCGACCAAATCGAGGTGGTAAATTCGTACCTGGACTACCCTGTCGTACATTTTGCGACTGGTATAGAACAGCTACTTTGCTATTTCTTGATGATGCAATTATTATCGTACACTATAGTCACTAGGCGGTTGGCAGATAGGTGACAAAGTTATACCTACGATAGACCCTGAGAAACAAAAACCTACTAACTTACATCATCGTCGGTGAAAATCTTGAGGACTATCTGTCAACATTCTATCGCAAAGCCCCTGATCGATCTGATACGCAATTCACATACAGGAAGGAGCAGAAGAACTATCTTCAAATGGAGGCTTAGGCTACTATAATAAAGTAGCCTAAGTGCTGGTCTAAGCTGGCATAAAGTAATCAAATTATTTCGTCTCTTATTCTAGGTAATGACAATCAATTCTTCTGATACACTAAGATTTCTATCTTCTCTGGATGTGTTACTAATCATTAGGCAAAGTCGCCTACGACGAGTGCCATTGATAAACGGAGTAAAGAGGTGCACCTTCTGGCCGAGCCTCTCTAAATGAGTCTAACATAAAATACGCTAAGAAATGGGCCCTCTTGGCTTGGGACTATCCGCCGGTGCGTAAGTGGTTGATGGGTACGTGAGCTTTAGTACTATAACCTACTGAAGATGCTGATTGAGAAGAAGAAGAAACCTAACAAAAAGGAGAGGTCTAGCAAGAAGAAGAGACCTAGGGCTAGGTGTAGGCCAGCTTTGCCTTGCCTAGGATGATAGCTTGCTGTCCGCATTGGGGTCTTGTAGTATGTTTCATCCCTACGGTCTCCCCTCATTTGCCTTTCCATAGATACTCTGGTCGTTCTTCGCCAGGGTGGTCCCTCTGATATGAATAGCAATTGGCGCAACGCTTTTTTTCATACCTTCCCCCGTAGGGTACGACTTTTTGGCAATTTGAACATTTGCGTCCTTCGGGCTCTTCGGGCTCTTCAAGAGTTTGGTTCTCAGCAGCTGCTTTTGCTTTCCGTTTGTGGTAGTATTTGCGCTCTGTGAGTCGCCGGGAGGCCCGATGGTGTTCCGCGCAGCGATGTGCCTGCGGAGTGTGCGTGAGTTCTTCGCACCCTTCTTCTTCACATGTGTTGTGCTGTTGTTGATATACTTCCCGAGATGCTGCCAGCTTGGCTCTCCTCCCAGCATTCACACAGGGTCGGCATTTTGCTTGGCCTTCCTGCTTGGGATTGTTACATCCCGGAGTTGGACAGATTTTGGGTATGCCCTCGGGTTTCTTGGGCTTCAACTTTCGTATACATGGCTGACATATCTTGCCCATTGAATTGGTGGGTTTCTTGCATGCAATGCACATCTTCCCGGCTTTTCGAGCTCGACACCGGTGACATCTTTCACGAACAGATGCGTAGCGACCACAATCAATGCACTTGTTCGTTGCTTGACGGTTTTGCGCCACTAGCAACGCAAGGTCGACGTCTTGCGTAGTGAGACCTGGGTGGTCTTGAACACGCGCGTGTGCACGACGCCTGGCTTCATTCCAGAATGACTTGATCCCAGCCGGAGTAAACGATCCATTGGGGTCACGTTCTTTGTAAAGGTCCTGGACAATGGCGTCTGCCACCACATTCACTTCCGGCTTCGCAGCCAAGCGCCGATAGGTGGTTCTCTTGCTCCAGGCCTTCGAAGAAAAAGCGTCTCTGAACAGCGGTAAGATATGCGCCTCGCGGGAGTGAGCTTTCGAGTTTAACACCGCTTTTCGCAGGTGTAAATTGACTGCATGAGCCGTGCGGAAGTATCCGTGGCTATTCATGTAATAACTCGCTCCAGTTAGCAACTCCCATAACGCTATCGAAGGGTTCTGGCCGAGCTGCTCCTCAATATATCGGTAACAGAGATCTTGCTCAGGCTTAATCCACCCGATAGTTTCACAGGAGCCATTGTCTCCGGGCGTCACGCCTTCGAGAAGACGTTCAATCGATGTCGGGGCCGATACTGTGACCTGTCGCTCGAAAAACTTCTCACACCGCGTTTTCATGATATCGAAAAGCATCTTAGTGTCAACAATCGCATCGTGCCATCCCCAGACGTGAACGGACGGCGCGTATAAGCAAGCCACGTACCCGAGGCTGTATCCTGCCAACGCCGGTCCTGTTCTCTGGAGCCAGGTCATCGGACTGACCCAATTTGAGGGCGGTGGGAGGACCTCGTCCGCCTTGCAGCCGGCTCGATCCAAGTTATCGCGGTACACAACTTCATCGTGGGGATAAAGTGACCACTCGGCGATTTTCATCTTGGGAGCCCGCTCCTTCAAACTTTGAAACTCGTCCGCGACCCACTGCATAGTGTGGCCGGGCGGTTCCTTGGATGAAGGAGGCCCAAAGGCCCTTCGCAAGCAACATTCCTCGATACGGTTGAGTTTGCCGTTATTTCGCTCCAGAGCCAAGTCCCAAATCGCTTGAACCGTCTTGCAGCCGTGGTTTATGTGTCCTCCAAAGGCGAGGACGCCCTTGGAGTCCACGACTGCAACTTGCAGGAGTAATTCGCCGGCGGATTCTGTGTCTGTAAAGTACACGTCTCCTTGCTCCTTCATCTGAGTAAGAAATTCGGCCTCCTCCAAGGTCATCCCATCGTAACCCCTTTGTGGATCGGATAGGAACTCCGAGGCTTCTTTCGGGGTACGTATGGCGGCTGTCGAAATCTTGTTCAACGTCTTCTCAACGGCTCGCCGTACGGGCGTAAAGATGGCAGATCTGTCTACTAGATCTAGAGCATGCTTCGTGCACAGTTGTGTTTCTAACGCAACTGGTTCCTCGCAATCCGGAGATTCACAACTCTGAGTGCTCCCAGTTTTGGTCCATCGTCCCGAACTAAACATAGACGATATCAACCTCTTTACCGCATCACATGTCTCACATATGGTGGGCTGAGTCATACAGGGTTGATGAAAAAGACCGCGTTTCAGTACGACACGTTGAACGACCGTGTTGGCCGCTGAAATCGTTTTCTTAGAAGGGCAACTCAGGCCTTGACAGGGGCCTACACATGGTATTCCTTCTCGAAAACGTAGCATACCGTTGTAATTGTCCCTCAGCGCTAAAAGAGATGAGCATGTGGCATAACATGATGCTTGGAGTTTCAACTTACCAAGTTTTTGCCGATTGTACGGCAAGATATCTTCCTCCTTTCGGAAATCTGCATGGTCTAAGAGCTGTCTAAGTTAGTCGCTGTATGTAGTAGAATTTTGTTTTCTTCTTTTTCGGGGTTTATACCTTGTAATACATGTCTGATGAGCTGTTCACAACGGGAACTCTGCTCGGTCCTTTGCGCGATACTTCGGCGCTGAACCCTTGAGGTAACTCTGATATATCAGGATAGGTTACATCAACCAAGTGATGGATAACATTGATATATGTTACATCGGGATCTGTCATCTTCTGATATCCGTATACCTCCTCGAGTTCGAGTCGTATGAGAGACGGTACGGAATTGGCAACGATGCCATGAACTGCTGATAGATGCGCAAGCAGGGTTGATCGTGTGCGATATGGAGTTTGGCATGAGGGAACTGGGCACTTGGCACCAAGACCTGAGTGGTCTGTTATGGCGTGCAAGTTTAGTCCCCAATCTGTGAACTTCTCAAATTTTGTTGCACAATCTTTGTGCATGCACAGATGCGGATGCTCCTCGTGTTTCTTCATATGCATCTTCAGAGTGAACTCTAGCATATATTTTTTCCCACAATGTTCACAAGTGTGGTTGGGCGTGGGCTGTCTCTCAGGATCATTCCTAATCCTTTCTTCTTTGAACGGACAAGCTTCGCAGACTTGGATGTGCCTTAAAAGAGCGATTCTGTCTTCAAAGACCTTTTTGCACTGCTTTTGGCCTTGACAGTGATCTTTTTCGTCTATATCTTTGTCGTCGTCTTTGTCGTCGTCTTCGTCTTCGTCTTTGTCTTCGTCTTTGTCGTCGTCTTCGTCTTCGTCTT